CAGGAGGTTCCTTCCAGGAGATGTTACATTTCCCACAGTACAGTGAGGAAGTTGCCAGGTAATAGGCAACACTGTTTATGAGTGTGGAGCTGGAGATCCTGTGTAAGTGGGTAGAGGGGAGAGTCAAAGAAATGTTAATGGGACCCCATTTGTATCCACAACTTGGGGAAACATGGGTTATATTTGGGGGTTGTGGTAGAGATTGCTAGCTGCTCACCAAATCCTAATTTCCTCACTTTTCTAGGCACATACCCTGCAGTTAGGTGTGACCTTGTCGTTGAGTTCCAGCCAATGGATATGAGTAGAAATTATGTGTACCACACCTAAATTTCCACTGTGTTTAAACCAAAATATTTAAAATATTTATTTGTTATTGCATTAGCCTATCCAATTAACACAGAGGCTTGGCTAAAACTTCACATGTCCTGCTACTATATATACAGTTAGTCCTCTGTATCTGCGGGTTCCACATCTGTGGATTGAAAATATTAAAAAAAAATTCCAGAAAGGTGATCCCTAAACAATACAATCTAACAACTATTTACATAGCATTTACACTGTATTAGGTGTCATAAGTAATCTAGAGATGATTTAAAGTATACGGAAGAATGTGAATAAGCTATGTGCAAATACTGTGCCATTTCATATAAGGGACTTGAGCACCCGTGGATTTTGTAATCTGTGAGGGGTCCTGGAACCAATTCCCTGTGGATACTGAGGGGCTACTTTATCTGCAACATGGGTGTTTGGAAATGGAAATGGAGGCTTAGGGATCATTGCAGTTTTGAGGATACTAGTTAGCTATGAAGAAGCTGAAGTTGCAGAGATGCCTTGGGCTGATGTAGGGAGCCTGGAAGGATTTTCAAAAGGAAAGAAAATATGAATGCAACTTATAGAGCTTTAGGAAATTTAGCAGGAAATGGGGCTTCCTATAAAGTAATCTTAAAGTGCTCTAACTCAGACAATAAATTTCCAAAAACATCACAGTTCTTCCTAGAGAGTTGCAGAGTGTGAGATGGCGCGAAGTGTGTATTTGAGCTCAAGACCAGAGTCTCACACCTGAGTATTTTACTGGAGAGGGAGGCTACATATTGGGTTAGGTAGTGGGGAAGGCTGCTCAGCTTCCTGTGGAAATCATGAGCAATGGGCATTCTCTGAGGATGGGTGGACCTGGCTTAGAGATACTAGCAGAACTCAGGAGTTATTTTCCCCAGGAAATCTCCCTGGTCTCTTCCCCCACCCAAATCTGGGATAAGAATACTCTCCGTGCACTCCTGTAACATCCTATTTTTACTGCTGTTCCAGTTACCTGTGTCTGAATAATGAAATCGCTCTAAAACTTGCTGACTTAAAACAGTGACATTCATTTTTTTCCTTTATTATCTCTTATGGCTCTGGGCATTCATGGCCTCAGCTACGCAGTTCTCCCTTGGGGAGGGTGTCATGCTGTTGTGGTCAGATGGGGCTGGAGTCATCTCGAAAGCTTCCTCACTTGCAGACCTGGTGCTGAGGTTGTTGCTCATTGACAGCTGCGACCTCATAGGCTCAGCCAGGACACCTAGTGCGGCCTGTCCCTGCAGTTGGCGCTTCCCTGCAGCATGGCAGCTGGGCTCTGAGAGTGAGTGTGCCATGCGGACCGGGTGGGTGCAGGATGATCTTTCCTGACCTAGCTTTGGAAGTCACTTTCACCATATTCCCTTTCGTTGCAGCAGTGACGAGCCCTCAGGCACATTGGGTGGGGTGGGGACACAGGAATGTCAAAGAATTTTGGCATGTTTAAAAACCACTATGAGCCCAGCCGGGCATGGCTCAGCAGTTGAGCGTCGACCTGGGATCCAGGTGATCGGGGTTCGATTCCTGGTCAGGGCACATACCCCGGTTGCGGGCTCGATCAATGACTCTCATCATTGATGTTTCTATCTCTCTCTCTCCCTCTCCTTTCCTCTCTCTGAAATCAATAAAGATATATTTAAAAACCACTATGACTGCTATCATAGGACTTTTGCATAATTTTGTCTACCTCCCCTGTAGAGAAAGTAAGTTCCTGGAGGGTACTGGGGGTTCTTATTTGGATTTGGACCCCCAGCACACAGTAGGCATTCAATAGGTGTCTGTTGGATGAATGAATAAAGTAGCATAGTAGCACTGGAGGTTTCAGTAAGCTCTCATTGGGGAAAGGATGTTTTGTTTGGGAGGAGTAAAATATTTGGAGGAATTACCTTTCTCATCTAACTCTGAAGACAAAGGAGAGACATTAAAGGTTTAAAAATGTAATTAAAGTTGTTATTAAGGGAGATTAATTTTTCAGTTTGCGGGATAGATTTAGGGATGATAGAGGAGGAAGGGGAGAAGTTTGAAGTCAGTCTATCCAGATGAAATGTAACGAAGCTCTGACTTGGAGGAGTAGATGTGAAAGACATTAGAAGAATCAAGCAGTTTCAGGGACGATTGGGGGCAGAGAAGGGGAAGAATGAAAGATAATTCAGCTTTTGAACCTAGGTGGCTGAGAAAATGGTAGGGTCGTTAACAGAGAAAGGGAAGGCAGAGTAAGACCACTGTTGAAATGTTAGCCATTCAAATCCCATTTCAAAAATCTCATTTCTTCCACAGAGCCCTTCTGATTTCTCCTTAGCCAGATGCAATATCTCCTTTTAATTCCCAAGCCCTTTGTTATTTCGTCATGTCGCTTAACTTCTTCTGCCTCTTACAATGACTCTGGCCCTATCATTTTTGCATCCCACATAGCACCTAAAATAGTGCTTTGTACTTATAAGCCATAGTACATTTACATTTAATTATGCAGTTTGGGATGGGGAAAAAAGTCCCCCAAATTGGCTTTACTTTGTTACTGTCTTTGTCCATTTGGGTTGCTATAATAAAATACCATGGACTGGGTAGCTTACAAACAACAGAAATATGTTCCTCACAGCTCTGGACACTGGCAGCCTGAGATCAGGGTGTGAGCATGGTCAGATGAGGCCTCTCTTCCTGGTCACAGAGCTCTAGTATTCTCACGGGGCAGAAGGGCTCTGTGGGGCCTCTTTTATAAGAGCACTAATCCCGTTCATGTGGGTACCACCCTCTTGACCTAATCATTTCCCAAAGGCCCCACCTTCTAACACCTCACATTGGGTGTTAGAATTCTAACATGTGAATCTGGGGAGAACACTAACATTCAAACTATAGTAATTACTGTTCCTTTCCCACACTTACTTTCTTTTATTTTCCTCCCTACATTCACGTTACTTCTTCTGATACAGCTATACTTTTTTTCTTATGATTTTTCTACATCAAAAAAAAGTAGGTCAATAAACTATCACTCTAACTTTACTGAACAATAAATGAATTGGTATTTGGCAAGCATTGTTTATAGCTAGTGTCTTTGATAATAATCTAGGTACACAGTATGTTGTTGGGGTGGGATTCTCCTCCTTGCTCCCAATATTTTTTTATAGGACTACCTCCTGCAAGGAAGCCTGAGTTCCCCATGTGCTACAGAGCACTAGGGAGATTCTAGCTTTCATTTGTGAGTGCCTGGTTAAGGTAGGGAGTGCTAACTTGGCAAATTCCATTCTACATTCAGGGCCTCAGAGGAAATTGGAAAGTCTGACTTTGAATTCATGTGACTTGTTCACAGGCATGAGAGTGAAAAATTCTCAAACAATTACTGGGTGAGTTTTAAGGTGATACACTTATTGGGGCTTCTGGGACCAGTGGCATTGGAGGAAACAAGAGGAACTGTGGTTGTAGTTGGGTGGACGGACTGCCCTGGTTAGATTCCTGATCGCTCCCCAGCTGCACAGCCACATTCCTGGTTGATTATATGCTCACTTGTCAAACCTAACAGGTTAAAGAAGAAAGACCTTGGGAGTATTAGGAGGGAAATGTTTTTACCACCTTTGAGAGATCTTTCCTGATGGAGAGAGCTCTTTGATATGACTGTTCTGGTCACTCTCCATTTCGTCACTGAGTTTGCCCTGAGGAGGTAGAGTGACTTAGCTGACTGGGAAATGGGAAAAGTAACTGGGCATGTCTCCCTCGTCTTGGCCCTTCGTCCTTGCAGATGTGAGCTGTCTACAGGAAGTGTTTGTTCTCTATGTGGGCAGGTCTCTCCTGGCCTAGTGTTGCCCGTATCTAGAAAGGTAATTCTATTTAATTCTGGGGTTCAATTAACCACTTTTTGGCTTTTACATGTGGCTACTTCCTCTATCTTGACCTTTATTGCTATTAAAGAGAACATATTGGCCTCTATTTGCTGCTTTGTTTTATTTCTCAGTTTCTCTAGAACTTGGAGCAGGAAGAGAGGAGCTGTTATTCCGCCTCCTCAGAGACCCTAACACTGTGAATATGATCGTCATGACTCTGTGCAACCCTAGTGATTATTTTCTGAAATGTCCAATTATCCCAGGTACATGTATGTTAGTTAATTTAATATGAACACATACGGTTCTAATTTCTGTTTTGTATGTCAGCATATCACATCAGCTGGGGTTCAGATGACCCCAAGGGTGACACTATTGTTTTTATAAATCCCCACACTACTGAGCAGATTATGTCACATGGGCTCTGCTCTTTAAGACTGTCACTTAAAGTTGAACTTAAAGTCAGCTAGATATTCCTCCAACAAAAAGGGTTTATTTGGGAAAAAGATAATTGCAACTGGGAACATGCAGCCATGGCAAGTCATGTACAAGTTCACTAGAACAAAGAAGAGGAGATTTTTTTATAGAGGGGAAGAGAAGTTAGGAGGACTGTTATAAAGCATTTTTCCTGCTGGCCAGTGTGGCTCAACTATTGAGCATCGACCTATGATCCAGGAGATCTAGGTTCAATTCCTGGTCAGGGCAAAATGCCCAGGTTGTGGGCTCGATCTCTAGTAAGGGGGCATGCAGGAGGCAGCCGATCAATGACTCTATCATCACTGATGTTTCTATGTTTCTCTTTTTCCTCTCTCTCTTCCTTTGAAATCAGTAAAGGCACATTAAAAAAAAAAAAAAAAGAATTCTGGTGTGAGAGCTCCCCCTACAGGCCCTCCAACTTCCAATCTTGGTTGAGGTCTCAGTTCTTTTACACACACATTGTTAGAGGTTTTGACTTGAGTTCTTGCTAACTGGGAAAGGAAGTGGAGGCCTGGAGATGCCATTACATGTGTGATTTGTTGTCTCCTTGAGCTTTAGAGAGGAAAATAAAATATTTTACTTGGATGGAAAAATTGAAGGAAAGAAGACAAACCACACAGGAGGGTAAGAGAATCACAAACTTTTCTCACAAGTGTTGAATTCAGAAGTAAAAGGAGGAGGAATCCTGGACAATTTGGTAAGATGCTCTCTTTTTTCTCACTGTATACTGAAGCATGCTCTGAAGCTCTTGGGGAGAATGATGCTGCTACTGCTACTGTTGGTATTTGGAGATGAATTTGTTGTTTATTTATTAAGGGCTTTCTGAGTACCAAATATATGCTGAATGCTTGGCATACATCATCTCACTAAATCATGGTCACAACAGGCCCTGGCAATGATAGCTGTGTCCGAGGCAGGTGATATTATTCTCATTTTACACTCGATGAAGCTGGAGCTCAGAGAAGTTAAGTAACTTCTTAAGCCACACAGCTAAAAATAATTAGTAAATGATCTGTATTCACCTAAGCTCATTCATTCAATCAGTCATTTCTCAGGTACTCAGCCATTGTTCTTAGTTGTAAGCAACAGAAACCAACTCCCGTAGATTTTAGCAGAAGAGGAATTTATTAAAGGGACCCTGGATTACTCACAGAAATGCCAAGAGCTGGGGAGCCAAGCGTGGAAGCGTCACAGCAGGAACAATGGCCACTCTGTGGCCATTGCCTGTGCCATGTCCTAGACACTTCAGCTTGCGACGTTTGTTCACTGGGGCTGGATGCTGGGTGCTGCTTGCAAGCACAACCTCCTATTCCATCTTGCTGCAGCCACCGCTGTGCCCCGAGGTTCTATAGTGCCTGCTTTTCAGCATCACTGCCTCTGGGTTCAAAGTCTAGGCAGATTTATCTGATGAATAAAGCATAAGTGCATGGGCTGCTCCAGAGCTGCTGGAGTGGTGAGGGATATACTTCCTACACTTACATCTTCTCTCCTGGGTGGTAGGCTTTGTTCCCCAGACTCTTGATGAGGAAGTCCCCAAATGTGGTAAAGACATTCAAATGCTGGGCAGCCATAGGAACGGCAAATGATCACCTGTCCATCTATTATAGGAATGACACTGCTAGACATGGTGGGAATTCAAAGATGACTCAGACCCAGAACCTGCCCTCAGAGACCTAATTGGCTCATAATTCTTTTCCTTTTAACGTTTACATTTATTTGGCATCACAGTTTGCAAAGCCCTTTTACTCTCATTGTTTCATTAGATCCTTCTTGACAGCTATGTAAGGTAGGCAGAAATGATATTATCTTTATTTTATAACTGAAGACATTGAGGAGTTAGGTTATGAGCCCAAAGTCTCACCGTGGGTGAGTGTCAGAGATAGGACTTGGACCTGCCCTCTGACTCCAGGCCCAATGCTGAGTCAACCAGAAGTAATATATGTGCACAAACGCCATGCTTCATGGAGTCCAAGGCTCATGATTTCCCCCCACATTTTAACACTTCTGAAATCAAGATGCATCATATAATCAATGGTATACTATAGTTTAATCGACATCTTTTTTATTCCTAGTGGTATGTAAAATAAAGGAGCATCTTCAGTTGATGAAGTTGTAGAGTCATTGGAATGCAGTCACTAAGATAGGGATAAAAGTGATAAGGGACATAAAGGAGAGCTGGGAGATCTGGAAAGCTTTGTGGCGATGCTGTACTGGCCCAACACCCCTTAGTTCCTTATCTGCAATTCTCAATTCCAAAAGGCTCTGAAAACAAAGTTCTTTTTTTTTTGTACATAATTTATAAGTAACTTATAAATATATAATTATAACTAAATTATAATTTTAGTTATTCCACTTAATATGAAGATCAACCTGTTTAGCTGCAGAACTATTAATGTTTGATAATGGTGTGCTATCCCGGCCCCTTGAGGGGAGGGAGAGGAAGAGGTGTTACCTAATACTGGGTCCATGTACTGCACTGTTTTTCTAAAAATCTTAAAATTCTGGATTTCGAAACATATCTGTACTCAAGGGTTATGGATAAGAGATTCTGGATTGTGTCTGAACTGGGGCTTGATTGGTGAATAGAATTTAGATGTTTGGAGATATGGAGGAAATTTTAGGAAGAAGAAAAAGCACCGTCCCACACCAGCTTGGGTCTGGGTATGTTATTATCCAACCATTAAATATGCTCTAAAGGCAGAGAAGACCTGCATTACTGATAACTATTTTCCCTTAATTCATGATTCATACATGACTGGAGGGTTGGGCTTTCTGGGTTTGGCCTCCACCCCTTACCCCAGTATTAATCCCCTCCTTCTCCCACAAATCACCTGACTTCCCCGAAAACTCTGTAACACACCCCTTGGCTGAAAAAGAACATTAGGCAATCGGTGAAATTCCCCATTCCTCCTTTCTCCCTCTGTAGCCCTGGATAGAGGAATCTCAGGCCTAAGAGAGGTATGCAGTTTTTGTTTCAAAAGCAGAGGGAGCTCCAAGATCGAAGCTGAGTTACCCTTTCCCTAGGCCCTGGTCTCCCAGCCCCCTCTTGTTTAGATCAGGGAATTTCAGACATGCACACTGGGGTAGAGAATCATATCAGCAGGACCAGGACAGGGAGGCCGGCAGAGGTTCCTGCAGAGGGAGCGTCCAGGCCCCGTAACCGGCAGGGTCGCCCAGCATGCCCACTGGCAAGAGAGGGGACTGACCCACTTGCTCCCATCAGCTTCTGAAGGTAAAAACCTTAAAAACAAAGAGCAGAGCTTTGATGGAGGAAAAAAGAAAGGCAGAAAACTTCACATACGAAGGTTTTGGGCAAAAGATGGAGGGCTGGAAAGAGCAGAATAAAAAGAAGGCAAAATATAGGCAACCTATTTCTCTTAGGTTAACCTCACCTACCCTCACGTCACCCCACTGCCTAGCACTGTTTTCAGGGGTTACATTTTCTAAAACTTTTTTAGGAACTGTGGGAAGATATCTTGTCTTTTTAGTGAAGGGGGGGGGAAACCTCTGAAAAGTTAATATAGAAAATTGAGGGAATACCTTTCTTTTCCTTTTATGTTTCTTGTCATCCAGCTGCCCCTTCCTCCTTCCCCACCCAGCCCTGTCTCAGAGCACTTCTCCCAAGGTCACTGCCTTACTCTAGTGAGAGAAGCTCGTTTCTCCATCAGTGCTCACTGGAAGCATCAACAGAAATGCATGCGATAATAAACAGTAAAGAGAGCCCGTTTGAAGTGATAGGGAGATCACTGTCAAAAGAGGAGGGAGAAAATGTCCTAGATGAATGGTCATGATGGGAAAAGACTCTTGAAAATGTGGTGGAAATCGGGGTATTGTTCTGTGAGGGCAGGGGAGAGACTGATAGAGTGCGGGTGAGGACTGGGGGTGAGGGTGAGGAGGAGAACACAGGAGGAAGAAAACTGGGAGAAAGTACTCATTCTTTTGGGAAAAAACTGGGATACCGTCTAGAGAAGCAATGGGAGAGGGATAGGATTTAGTTTTAGTCTAGAAAATGAACTGATGTTGAACTAGGGAGGGTATGGGAAGGTAGGTGCCATATGGTGATGACTAGTGATATGGCTCTGTTTAACCTCTGTGTTCTTATGAAGGTGACACTGAATGCAGGTGACCCTCTACCACCAAAGCAGGTACCTGTGTTTGTTAGACAAATACAGCCAGGCCTGCCACCCCTTTAGCTCCAAAGTCCAGGGGTGTGGAGAGCCAGGTCCAAGACACGTGCTGCTCACCAGGGATGGACAAATTGCCAACGATGTGGTAAGTGACCACGAATCTACAGAGATGTGCATGGACTCCATTCTCTTTGTTTTCTCTAGAAAATAGCTCATCGCTGAAGCCTGGGTTTTGGTTTGGTCTATGCCTTTTTGCTTTGTTCCAACCTAAGATTCTCCTCCACACACTGTTGCACTTCTCCCTGCGACAAATGCTGCAGCTCTGCACTAGTCTGCTGTACCTGTGTCACCCACCTCTTCACATGCCTTTTATTTTTTTCCCCCCAGGTGCATTGTCCTATTTTCCCTTTTGGCATGGGTTTATGCTAAGCCTACTATGTATGGGGAGATCCTGTCCCCTAACTATCCTCAGGCATACCCCAATGAGGTGGAGAAATCTTGGGATATAGAAGTTCCTGAAGGGCATGGAATCCATCTCTACTTCACCCATCTGGACATAGAGCTGTCAGAGAACTGTGCATATGACTCAGTGCAGGTATGCACATACGGGATAGGGCTGGGGAGGGGGTTGTCAAATGAGGTGTAAGAGGGCATGACACAGGCATATGGTGAACTAGAGTCAAATAGTCCTAAGCTGGTATGTGCTCTTCTCTCTCTGTTCTTTTCTCTCTCACCTCTGTATCAAAATATCACCCTTTCATAACTTCTTTTTGACTTTTCTCTTAGATAATGTCAGGAGACATTGAAGAAGGGAAAATCTGTGGACGGAGATCCAGCAAGAATCCCAACTCCCCAGTTGTAGAAGAGTTCCGAGTCCCATACAATAAACTCCAGGTGATCTTTAAGTCAGACTTCTCCAATGAAGAGCGTTTCACTGGGTTTGCTGCATACTATGTTGCCGAAGGTAAGGATCACTCTTCTCTATTGACTTGTCAGTCCAGTTAAAAGATTAGCAGCAGGATAGATATTGAGCAATGCAGTAACTAAGGATTCTCTTTATAACTTTTATGAAGTGTTGACTTGACTTCGATCCCTCTATGAGTTGCCTTTATGAAATTCAAACACGTGATCGTATCTTAGTGGTAATGATGATAATGTTAACAATAGATAATAAACAGTAATTTATTGAGAGCCATTATGAAGTGGGCACTCTGTATTAGGAATTTTATCTATATTAATTTAATCTTCACTTCAACTCTTCCAGGTAGGTATTATTGTCTCCATTTAAAGATAATGAAAGTGAGGACTAGAAAAGTTAAATAACTTGCCAACATTCACACAAGGAATGTATGGTATTCAAAGTCATTCAATATATGGCAAACAAACCTTCAAATTCTGTGTGCTTTTTCTATACCTAAAGTAAAGTTAGAACATCTCATAAAGTCAAACTATGGATTAGATTCAACGGAAGTGCCAACGTTATACAGAGTAATAAATGTACTAATTGTTTGTCTCTACAGAAGACATATCATCATGTTTAGCTTGCAGAGTGTTTTCTTTGGAGCTGAAATGCTCTGTTTGTGAGACAGGTCAAGGGTCTCTGGCAGTGAGAGCTCCCTTATAGCTGTACAATGTTAAGGCACAACTCTGGAATCACATTTCAGGAGAGCAATATAGAATAACACCATTCTGAAGTGTGATTTGAGGAAGGTCTTTAAGCAACAAGCCTTTCTTACTTTTTCTTGCCCTTGTAGTTTTGGGTTTAACTTCATTCTTCCTGCTAGGTCTTTGCCCTTGACCTCAATCTTTTTCTACTTTTGTAGATGTAAATGAGTGCACAGACTTTGCAGATGTCCCCTGTAGCCACTTCTGCAACAACTTCATTGGTGGTTACTTCTGCTCCTGCCCCCCAGAATACTTCCTCCATGATGATATGAAAAATTGTGGAGGTGAGTTTGGTATAGAGATGGGGGCATGGTCCCTGGGATTTGGAATGGCTTGAGGCTTCAGTAAGCCTTGAGGCCTTCTAATTTTGATTAGCTTCAGTCTTGATTTGACACCTATTCTTCGCTGAGAGGGGGGCCGCAAGAGTGGAGGAAGACAAGGTTACAGGGTCAAGTTAATTAACTGGAGATGAGAGATAGATGCCCGTGAAGAGTCTACCTGTGACTGTTCATAACTATGAAAGGTTCTGTCATAAGCAATGTGATGGAAATCTAATAGGCATGGGGTATCTCTACTAATATGTATTGGGTGTGTAATTGCTGTGCATGGGCTCCAGCCAGGGACTGTCAGTTTATAAGAGGAGTCATAGAATAAGGAAAGGACTTCTTTGCTTGAGCCTATGTTGATTTTCCCTTTCTCTTTTTATCTCTTAGTCAATTGCAGTGGGGATGTATTCACTGAACTGATTGGGGAGATCACAAGTCCCAATTATCCCAATCCATACCCAGAGAACTCAAGGTGTGAATATCAGATCCTGTTGGAGGAAGGTTTCCAAGTGGTGGTTACTGTGAAAAGAGAAGATTTTGATGTGGAACCAGCTGATTCAAAGGGCAACTGTGCTGACAGTTTAGTTGTGCGTGATGGATGATTAATTTTTCTCCCAACTCACAGATGATCTTTCCTTCTGCCCTTTCTTCCCCTACTCAGTTTTATTTTATATTATTTTTATTTACCTCCCTTCCTTTTACCCTCCCTGTTTTACCTCTTTCTTTCAGTTCTTTCTCTCTTCAGGTTTCATCATTTTGTGTCCTTTCAGTTTGTTGCAGGAGACCAGAAGTTTGGTCCTTACTGTGGAAATGGATTCCCTGGGCCACTAAATATTGAGACCAAGAGTAATGCTCTTGATATCATCTTCCAAACTGACCAAACAGGGCAACAAAGGGGCTGGAAACTTCGTTATCATGGAGATCGTGAGTCATCTAAAAGTTGTTCTTTGGTTAGTTGTAGCAAAGTCCCTGGACAATGTAAAAATCAAAACAGGTAGATTGTTGTGTGGAGGAGTATCCTGATTACTCCCCTTCCTCAGCCAGATCTAAACCTGTCAGTGGTTGCTAGAAATGCCTCAACGGCTAGGAACACTTCAACTGGACCTGTGAGTGCAGGCAACTTGGGGGTGGTTAGTTGGTAATGCCTTTAGACATCCCCGTAGTGGAATGTTAGGAATCAGGATTGAGGATGACTGAAGGATTTTACAAAGTGTGAGAATGATGCAAATAGGACAGAGATTACCCACCTATTTGGTGAATTATTTTTCCTGTCCTTCCCAAGCAACCCCCTGTCCTAAAGAAGTCACTGCCAATTCTGTTTGGGAGCCTCAGAAGGAAAAATATGTGTTCAAAGATGTGGTGAAGATAATGTGTCTGGAGGGGTTCGAAGTTGTACAGGTAAAGTACTGTTAGAGCCTTTTTCCTAACTCCTAGGTGAGGATGAGCATACTGGAATTGTCATATTGCTTACGGAGTGTTCTTGTTTGAGCAAGGTGTAACACCTTTTCCATAAACAGAACAGCTCAGGATCTTAATCCTTCCTTGTGGGTCAGGGAGCTCCTTGGCCAGCCTGGCATTCTTTCTGTGCCCACAGTCCTCCTGGGGAAGGGGATCTGATATGCTGGGGCAAACTTGTCTTTTAGTCCCAACTCTTGGGTGCTTTGGGTCATTCTGCTAAGATGTCTCTAAGGTTTCTGTGGTGAGGATTTCTCTTTGATTCAAGGCCAGAGATTGATTCAATTTTTTGATTTTAATTCCCCATATCCCTCCTTATAAATTAATGGTGATGTCTGTCTTTCTCTAGGGAAGTGGTAGCTTGACGTATTTCTATTCTACTTGTCAAAGTAATGGAAAGTGGAGTAATTCAAAATTGCAGTGTCAACGTATGTATCTCTTTAATATGGGACTTATTTTTTTTCCCTCCCAAAAGGAATGGAAAGATCAGAACATCAAGATTAAAATGTATGGTTTCCTTTTAGGCTTTTGAGAGTGGGTTGGGTTTTTGAAGGGAAGCCAGTCATGAAGTCCCAACCTTGGTCTGGTCCCAGGCCAGGCTGGCAGGTTTCTTTCAAAAAAAAAAAAGAAAAAAAAAGAAAAAAAAAAGAGGCTTGGTAGAGTTAATAGCACCACCTGGGACCATTCCTGGCTTCTGCAGGGGCTTCTATGAACCAGGTTCTTCCTTGTAGCTTTCAAGGGGGTATCTGAATTGGCAGGAGTGGGTGATGCCAGTTGGAGGGCATGACTACAGAGTGGCTGATATGAAGAATCATTCCAGGTGTACCTATGGATGTGGGAGTAGGGAAGGAATGAGGGACATGGCTGGGAACATGGGATGGGTCTAATGACCAATGACTTCCTGGGAAGAATGTCTATCCTGACCATCACTCTTCTGCCTTCCTCTCGTAGCTGTGGACTGTGGCTCTCCTGATCCCATTCAGCATGGTAGAGTCGAAGAACCAGAAGATACTTCATTTGGTTCTGTTGTTCGTTACACTTGTGAGGAGCCATATTTCTACATGCAAAATGAAGAAAGTGGTAGGTTTCTCTGACTAGAGAAAAGAGAGGGAAAGGGTGAGAGTGTTGGGGGGTGAATAGCACAGTCATTTGGGATGGAGAGAGTTTGGAGAGAAATGAAGGAGATGAGACAGACTCTGTTCATCCTCTTGGCTTATTCTAATCATATAGTTTTCATATGGGGCAGGGTAGGTTCCATAGGATCATTCATAGTGAATCATAGAGGTCGTCCAGTTCAGCTTCATGACTAGGCAGGAATTCCCCCTACAATATCCATATTCATGTGTTTATCCAGTGTTTGACCAATTATTTAATGTGGAACCTACATGAGTAATGCTTCCAGCTTCAGTCACCATGCTATGGTGACTGGCTTTCTTGATGGAAAGGCCATGGTAGTGCTAGAGGAAGGACTGGATGAGATATAATATGTCTTACTTCATTGCTTTTATTTTAAAAAAATATATCTTTATTGATTTCAGAGATAGGAAGGGAGAGGGAGAGAGAGAGTTGAAACATCAATGATGAGAGAGCCGACACTGATCAGCTGCCTCCTGCACCCCCCTGACTGGGGATCAAGCCCACAACCTGGGCATGTGCCCTGACCGGGAATTGAACTGTGATCTCCTGGATCCTAGGTTGATGCTCAACCGCTGAGCCATACCCTGCTGGGCCCACTTCATTGCTTTTAATTTAATTAATTAATTTTCTTTTTCCTTTTGAAGTACTTTCCCAGTCTCTACCATAACCCTCTTCCTTCTGCTTTGGAGACTGTTCCTTTTCCTCTCTAGGCAGGGTAGAGGTCAGAGAAATTGTTTGGAAGATGTTCTCAAGATTCTTTTCTAATTTATTTGATCTAATCGCTTCCTCAAATCCCAGAGAAGCTGAGGCTCTGAATGAAAGGGGGGAATAGAAGGTAGATGTGGTGGTGAGTGTGTCCTGTGTCTCTTGTGCTATTCCAGAGGAGTATCGCTGTGCTGGAAACGGGAGCTGGGTGAACGAGTTGCTGGGCACAGAGCTGCCAACATGTGTTCCAGGTAATCAGGGCTAAGGTTTGGGTAGAAACCGTAGCCACCAGTGCAGGTGAGTGGGGTCACCTTCTGAAAGTAGCTGTAATCCTCTTGGGAAAAGACTTAACAGTCTGATACTACCTGAGTTTAGCTCAGTGAGGTGTAGACAATAAAAAAAATGAGGGGTTGCAGACAGATCAGGGTTGAGTAGAAGAAGGCTCTCAGGCAAAGCCAAGATAATAGTGATCCCGGTAGTAACAACAGTGTTACTGAGAGCTATGGCTTGAGCTAATTAATTGCATATATTATCTCATCCAAGTCCTTGTAACAGCCCTATGAGGTAGGTATTATTAGACCCATTTTACAGATGAATGAATTAAGTGCAAGTTCACAAAGTTAGTAAGGGGTAGGGGTGGGCTTTGAACCCAGGTCTGAGTCCTAAGCCTGTTATGCTCAACTCAGAGTACATTCAGGCTGAGTAGTGAAAGATTTTGGTAAGCCAACTTTATCTGAAATAAAATTCATTTTTAGTTATACTGGGTAATAGCAAAGCGATCAAACCTAGAACCAGTCAATGGGGAATGAGATGAAAGAAGAGAACTTTCTCTTTTCCCTACTTCCATGAATCCTTAGGACGGACTCAGTTGTAATTAATTAGGGCTTCAATAAAGAAGGTGATAAGTGTTTGATTCAGGCATCAGACAAAGGTAGAATGCTTGTCTCCCCCACTATCTATATGAGGAAAGAATTTACCAGCCTGGCTCCAAGATGGGCACTATCTGCTGCGCCTGGGGTGAAGTCTGTGAGGCTGTGAGTCAAGCTGTCCACAGTGTGAAGCAGTAGTAGTTCACACACTACCTCGGTTTACTCAGTCTCTCCCATAGCCTGCTTATAGAATTGGCAACATGGAATGTTTGGTCCTTAGCTATGTTCAGAATGAGTCGGGCACTGAGATGGCTGACCAGATACAGGGTTGGCTATACTGTGCTAGAGAACTCTGAAGCCAGGCAGGTTTTTAAATGGTTGGGGGACTTGTGGGAGGCCAGCAATCTCTCTCCTGCTCCCTCCCAACCTTGTTTTTGTTTCTTCCTAGTCTGTGGCATCCCCAGTGAGCCCTTTACAGAAAAACAGAGGATATTCGGAGGATCTTTTGCAGAGATTCAAAATTTCCCCTGGCAAGTCTTCTTTTCAGATCCACGGGCTGGTGGGGCTCTCATTGATGAGTACTGGGTGCTGACAGCTGCCCATGTGGTGGAGAAAAACCGGAACCCGGTAATGTATGTTGGGTCTACCTCATTGGCTTACGATCAACTGAAAAATGGCCAGATGCTCATTGCTGAGCGTGTGATTATTCATCCTGATTGGCATGTCCTGGATAACCCGGAAACACGGAAGAATTATGACAATGACATTGCGCTGGTACGGCTTAAAGACCCAGTGAAAATGGGACCCACTGTCTCCCTTATCTGCTTGCCAGGCAGCTCCTCAGAATACAACCCCTCAGTGGGAGACCTGGGACTGATCTCAGGCTGGGGCAGAACAAACCATAGAGATCATGTTATAAAACTCAGAGGGGCAAAGTTACCCATTGCTCCTTTATCCAAGTGCCGGGAGGTGAAGACAAAATATCCGGCAGAGGCTATAAATAACTATGTTTTCACCGATAACATGATCTGTGCTGGAGGAGAGAGAGGTGTTGATAGCTGTGAAGGGGATAGTGGTGGGGCCCTTGCTCTACAGGACCCCAATGAAAAGAACCCCAAATTCTATGTAGCTGGCTTGGTGTCCTGGGGCCCGCAGTGTGGGACCTATGGGATCTATACACGAGTGAAGAACTACATTGACTGGATAATGAAGACTATGCAGGAAAATAGTACCCCCAGTGTGGACTAATCCACACATATTCTACCAGCTTCTTGGCCTAGGACCAATCTGTTGCTTTCTGTTCCTCACAATATTCCCATTATTTCACCATGACTGAGAGAAGACATAGAACTATGATTTAAATAGCACTTAGGTTGTAGGTATGGCTGGAGGTAGTGTTTGATCATAACACTGTGTTGGTCATACAGTGTGGTCTAAATCTGTGGATAGCAACAGGGGAGGGGCACTTCTATCTTACACTATTCCACAGGGAGTCCCCTTTCCTGATGACCAACTGGTGTTACAGTTCTGACTCTGAAACTTATTGTTGGGCGTACCCTTGATTTTTTTGTTTTCCTGTCGTCTGTTCAAAGTTCTACTTATTTTATCATTCTCAATGTCTACTATCTTCTTGTAATAAAGCAGGTTTATAACCCAGTTCTGGCTGACTTCTCTTATTCCACATCAAGAGCTCAGCACCATAGAAGGAGAGTGTGATGAGAGGGATGTTGTGTCATGGAAATTCAGGCATCTAGCAGCATATATATATGTACCTATACATAAATATACTGTATATATATTTATAGCAGCTAATATTTAATTGTCATGAAAATGGGGAATTCAGCTTTTCTCCTCTCTTCCAATGGAAATTTACTGACTATTATGGGTTAGTATCAACATCATCAACACAAGGTACCATATTCTGCTTTTGAAACTCATTAAATGTACCTTAACCTCATTGAGAGTCTACATAACAACAGTTAGAATTGGCTGTTTAAGTATAAAAATTTGAGGTATGAACTGTTTCAATATGTCTGAAAATTAATTTTTCTTTAGTGCTTATTGTGTAATACAATATTATGATTTAATAAAAAAGAAAAAGAAAAGAAATTCAGCATGCTCTTATCTGTTTTCCTGGTGGTTTTGGTCAATTGGTCAGTCAAGTAGCAATGTCATCTCTGAATTGAATTCTGCACCAAGAAGTTATAGCAAAGCCCCCCAAAGAATAAACCCAAAGATTCTCCCTTCTATTTTTTTTCAAGGGAATGGGAAAAAAAATCCCACAAAATTCCTTCTGCCTTCAAAATGATTAGTGATGAAAAAAACCATACAATAGAGACTCGTATTTCTTAAACTGAGGTTAGGAGAGCTGTTTTAGGGTGGCGGTTGCCCTAACAGGGTGTCTTATGAAAGCTCTAGACTGTAAGAATTCTGGAGGACTCTGGTCTGTTTAATGTGATGCATGGCTTTTAAGAGAGCAGTTTTTGCCAGAAGCTAAAAGGGGCATATTTGGGACCCATCAAAAAAAGAACTTTGATCTTCCATAGAGCAAAAAGGCTAAATTCAACAATTGAACTTAGACTGGAGGTTAACACATGATGAAATAATGACTTGAATCTGAAGGACCAAAGGGGAATTATAATAGGGAACTTTTGGAAAGATTGTGTCAAGTCAAACAAGCAGCTAAAAGCCATTCACATTATTTCTTAACTGTGTAAGTTGAATGCCCTTCCCCCGCCTGCCTGCCAGTACATGTACAATGGAATTGACTTTGTACCCTGGACTACAGTATTTTGGGTGAGAGGAGGGGAATTCCTCTAGAGAAAAAAAAAATTGGAAAAATATTAAGATTAAGAAACATGTTCATGATGTAGAAAATTGCCTTCTTTTTTGTAACTGGATAATAGAATCTGACAAGCAACTGAAAAAAGAGGTCCACCCCTGCTAGAGAGAATCTTGTCTATTTGGGTTTTGTTCTTGCTGATAGGCTGAGGTATTGGTAAAAGAATTCCCTCATTACAGCTGCGTTGTTCAGTGGAATGGGTGTGGTTTTTGCATGGTTAACTCTACCCCAGTATCATTTCCCTGGGTGAATGGCAGGGAGGGTTTTTAAGTGAATCACCATCAGAAATTTCAGAGCTGGGAAGAGCTCACCACCAAGGCATAGAAAATCATTCATTGTGGCTTAAAGGGAATCAATTATACTGCCTTGCAAGTCACTAGGGAACAACGTGAGTCTGCTGCATCTGAAATTCAGGAAAGGATTTACCTTTTTAAAACAGGTGAATTGTCACAGAGAATGGACTGATGGATCAGCTCCTCATGCCAGGGAGACCAAGAGGACTTGATGGGAAGGAACCCAGTTAAAACTGAACTAGTTCAGAAGGGACTAGAAGAATTTCAGAAATTCACCATCCTTTCATATTTGAAAGGTCCAGACTTTCCTCAGTTGTGTTAAGAGGTCAAGGGAATTGGATTTTGGGTGTGCCCCTTAAGCCAGAGAAAGGGAGCAACTAGATAGTTGATGGGGAACAGATGAAGTTGTGGCAACAGAAAGCACAGCTGAGAGATCCCAAAGCGGAGAGCATAAATTTGAAGAGAGAGTCCCCTATGGGTCTTGTTTCCTGGGGCTGCAGTTTCTGTTTTACAATTCTCTTGTTTTATTATAGGGGAATGCCAAAAACATAAAATACCAACTGCTAGTAAGGCACTAGTTTGTTGTTGTTGTTTTTAATCCTCACTGAGGGTATTTTTTCCATTGCTTTTTCAGAGAGAGTAGAAGGGTAAGGTGAGATTGAGAGAGAGAGAGGCAGGAGGGAGAGAAACATCGATGTGAGAGAGACACATCAATTGATTGCATCTCACATAGGCCCGGCCGGGGCAGGAGATCAAACCTGCAACCAAGGTACGTGCCCTTGGCTGGAATCTAACCCTGGAAGAGCGTTAAAATGACAGTGAGCCAGGAGCCAAGGTCACTGAAAAATGAGTGAAACTAACCAGGTTCCAGGAGATTACTATCACAATGAGTAGATGCAGATGATATAGTCTGATGACATGAGCTTTAAAACTGAGGGGTTGAGAGAAGGAGAGAATGGTCTGTACATGACAACAAGGACCAAGAAAGTCAGTCACACACCCTGCCGGGCCCAGTGGAATGGAGGCTGTGGAAGAAAAATGCAGCCACCAATTGAGAGAGCTGTAGTCGGGTGCAGTAATCAAACTGACTGATCACTTTCTACCCATGTTACCTTGGCAAGTTACTCAACCTCTTTGAGCCTCAGTTTCTTTGTCTTTAAAAAGGGGGTAGTAACAGTATCTCATACAAATCTCATACAATAGTATCTCATACAATCTCATACAAATATTTAAGAGTTAAAGGAGATAATACATGCAACACGCTCAAGGCAGTGTCAGGCACATTGTGAGCTATACTGGGGAGATGTCCTCTGGTACCTTAACATCCATAACCAGAGGGCAGGATCGTTCTTCATGACTGTGATCTTAGAATCACAATTTCTACCCCTTTTTCTTCCCAACACAATTTCAGTCAGTCTTATATAATGCAACAAAAATTACTATTGTTATTGAAAGTATAGGAACAGAGACATGGTACAATTTCCAGGGACCCAGGAGAAATTTAAGGCCCCACTCTCAAGTGATCCCTCCCATTTCTGCCTGGTGATTGAAATGTCATTAACATGTAGTAAAAGTCCTTCAACCTTTAGATATAGGTAGCCTGATTAGTTCACTTATATCTATTCACACCAAAGGATGAAAGGTGACAGTGAGGACAGCTCAGGATGCCAAAAGGAAAACGAGCAGCCAAGGACCAGGGAAGGAGATTAAAAGGGGTTCAGAGCCACCTGAGACAAATTAAAACAACTTCATAAATTGCTGCACAAAAGAACTCTACAATAAATTGTGTCATAAGTGGGGTGTGCAGATGCGAGGTGGAGGGAATCAATGGGGGAGGGGAAAGGGGTGATATCTGTAATACTTCCAACAATAAAGATAAATTAAAAAAAAAT